AAGGAGGGAGCCTTTGCGAAATAACACTCGAGGCGGCTCGGGAGTCAGGGCGAGGCGGACCCGAACCTCCGACTCCGAGGTTCCCGGAGATGAGGCGGGGTTGGGGACCTCGGCCCCGCGCGCTGCTCCTTCTGCTGACGCTGGTGGCTCAGCCAGGTAGGACGGGACGGGGCGGAGGGCCAGGGTCCGAGACCCGCGGGTGTGGGTGGGGGCGGGTCGAGGTGTCCACTGCGCAATCTGGCAAGGAGAGGCTCGCTGCCTGGGTTAGAGACAGAAACTCAGATACCTGAGTCCAGGTGGGGTTATGGACTTTGGGGGTGCGATGTGTGGGTTGAGCCCGCGTGTCAGACCTCTGGGTCCAGCAAAGAGACTGCACCATGCTAGCGCCTTGGAGGCTAAGTGGGCTAAATACAGGAGGGTAAGATCCTTGGCCTGAACGCGTGTGCTGACTTCCTCTACCCTGCTCAGGTGATGGTAACAGGAGCAGCGCCGCGGGAGGTTGCCACTGTAGTAGAAGGATCCCTTCTAGCTCCAGTCCCCAGGTGGAATTCACGAAACATCTCCAAAAATACACGAAAGCCTACAGTCACTGTGGAGTTTATATCAGGTAATCTCCTCCATCCCAGGAGCGCTAGCTCTTCCAGTGCCCGGCTCTCTCTCCCGGTGGACCTGTTCTCCTCTCGGGTTCTCACAGTCTGATTTCTGTTTCACTTACGGGGAATTTCCCAGTTCCAGCACAAATGACTTGCTTGGAGTGACTTCGCCCTTTCAGAGTGAGAAAAGCTGGGGAAGGGAAGCTAGAGGTGAAGCTGAGACCTGGTTTTCCCTCTTGTAGGTTCCAGCTTCCTTCCCGGAGTGTGTGCGGTGACAGCCGAGACCAGTGGGTTCTTACCCTGATGAGCTGCTTGGATCTCAGAGGTGAGAGCTTTTCCTTTCCTCAGGCCTGCCTCCAGGGTGCCAGCAGCTTCCACTGTGCAATCTCCTTCACCTTTGCCTTGACATCCCCTATTCCTAGAACCTTTTGATGTCAGCCAAAGTATGTTACTTAAGTGCCTGTCTACCAAACATCATTTACCATTTACTTTCATGATTTATGTCAGTTTATTTTGACATGTGACATGTTATACATACATATATATGGTAGCCTCCCGGAGTGCTGGTATTACAGGCATATGCCATCATGGCTGTATTAAACTGCATATTTTATATAGAATATAATCTTTTTTATGTTTGTTTTTGACACAGGGTCTTGCAATGTAGCTCAGGCTGGCACTGAACTCACTATATGGCCCAGGCTGGCCTCAGACTCTCAGCAGTCCTCCTTCTTCAGCCTCCTGAGTGCTGGGATTACAGGCATGTGCCACCATGCACTGGTCTATTATGTTTTTCTTTCTTTTTTTGTACCCAGGATCAAACTTGGGACCTTGCGCTTGCTAGGCAGGCAGAGGAACCTCTGAGCTAAATACCTGGCTCTATTATGTTTTTCTTGAAATCAACCAAAGGCACCATTTTCACTTTCCAGTATTTATGAAAATTAGACTTCTTCTGAAAATTGTACAATGAACAATCATATTTCTACCTCCTAGATTCTGTGATTGATTGCACATCTATAGCATTCATCTGTGCAACATAATCTTGATATGTTTCAATATAAGTTGCAGAAATTTTTATATTTCATCCCAAAACATTTCAGTATGGATGTTAAGTAGAATTTAATATTCTATTTTTTCTTTTGAAGCAAACTCTCTACATACAATGAAATGAGCAAAGCTTAAGTGTATGCAAGCCAATTTTGAAAAATTATTTACAACTTCTTAACATCTGTGAAGTCAAATTTGTGACTTGAACAAGTTGTATTTTTCTCTTAAAATGAATACACAGCCATTAAAATACAAAGTGTTTTTCAGCGTCTACCTAAAGCTGTCTTGTGTAAGTCAGTATTGCCCATACTGCCTTTCATGTTACACTGACCTGTGTTATTCCTTTAATCCTCCCAGATATAGTACCTTGGTGCTTGGTACTATGATTATCATCACTGGATAGCTGAAAGAAATAAGCCCCATAGAGGTCAGAAATGAGGGCCGAGTTCTCAGAGTTATTTTGTAGCACAGCAGGGATCCAACCTAAACCTCCTGACTCTCCACTCATTCAGAACACCCACTCATTTGGCCCACTGGCTGCATCCTGTGGTCTGTTCGATTCCTTGTCTCTTGCCTTTTTCCTCTGCTGCTACCTGCCTTCCCTGGCCTACAGTTGTCCCTTTGATGTTTTATTTGACATACTACGCTTTCCTTTGCTAGGGCTCAGAACACAATACCCCCAAATATAGCACTTTAGCAATTAAGAAAACCATGAAGCGAGGTCTGATTTTCCCCCACCTTTCTGTGTGACAGCCAGCCATTAAAGACTATGATCCATTTCATCTGAAAGTAAGTCATAATACCCCTATTCATTGGGGTGTGCCCTATACTTGGAGGTCAAGAAGAACCTGAAGGGACAAGTCTCAGTCCCTCTCCTTGTTTATTACCACTAGATCACACCCTTTTTGTCTAATCATACGTCTATACAACTGTCCAGTTGGCTTTGTTTTTTTTGAGACAGGGTCTCCCCATGTAGTGCAGGCTGGCGTTGAACTCACTATGTAGTCCAGGTTGGCCTCAGACTCATGGTGATCCTCCTGCGTCAGCATCCTGAGTGCTAGGATTACAGGCATGTGCCACCATGCCGGGTTCTACAGCTGTCCATTTTTCATCAATTCTAAGCACAAAAATAGTTTTCCCTGGATCTGCTTTCTGAAGGCTCCCATGTCCTGTGAAATTTTGATTAAATACATTTATGTTTTCTTAACTTGCTTTTTGTTATAAGGGTGTCAGCCATGAACTTTGTAATAGATGAGGAAAAGATTACCACTTTTAAAAATCAAAACACTTATTGGTACATTTTAGATATACATAATTATCATAGGGAATTTGTACCAGTACAAGTTGTATTTTTGCTTCTTTTTTCCCCATTCCCCCACTCCCTTGTGTACAAAACCTTTGTTTCCATTTTTCCATTTTTTTTTTTGCCCTTTCCTTTGCCCCTCCTCCCTCCCATGTTTCCCTTCTCATTTAAACATTTTCTTCCCATTTCACTCTTTCTCACTTAGATCTGTCTACTTCTTTACCTGTTCCCTGATAACTCTGGTTCTTCACTTCTTTCTTCTCCAGAGTGTGGACATGCTTATTGGGAGAATCTAGCCCACCAGAAGCATTTGTCTTCCCCTGGCATGCTGATTTCTAGGCCCACAGAAGGGGTACCTCAAGACAGAAGCACTCATACCCAGAAGTACCCACCATCTGCCTTGCCGTTTACTGAGAAGCCTACCCTTCTGCCAGGAACACAGTCCTTGGAGAAAGAGCCCACCCTCCTCAAGGAAATTACCACTTCCCTTGTGGGCTGCAATCTGGGAGCTGGACATGAGGCTAAGGAGAACCAGAAACAGCTGGAAGGAAAAGCAGGTGCCACTAGTGGGACATCAGCTGTGGTGCCAGTACTGTCCCTCCTGGTCATTGTCTTCTTCCTCATTGGAGTCATCCTTTACATGCAGTGCAAAAGGAAGAGGGGGCAGCCAGCGCAGTACTCTCCAGGTGTTATGGCTTGTGTCTAGATGTCCCCCAAAGCCTCATGCAGTCATAGGTGGCTTTCTGGAGGTGGCTGGATCTGGGGCATGTGATGCTGAGGTCAAGGGTATAATGCTGGACTTGATTTGTGGTGTGACACTAGGATTATGGGTACCCCAAGTGGGTGTGAGTGCTTCCTGCCCTGGATAGGATATAAGAAACAGAAGAAGGGTTGCTATAGTTGCTGCTTTTTGCTTGCTGCTTGCTACTTCACTGCTGGCTGCCTTCTGCCTCTTTGCCATGGGCTGTTTTCTGTGCTAGCACAATAAATCCTTTTTTCTTTGAGTGTTGAGTATTTTGTCTCAGCAATGAGAAAAGTAACTGTGACACCAGGTAACCCCTCACCCAGGGACCCAGGGCTTTCCTTGAAGGGATACCGCTCCCTGTTGTTCTCAGATAGCTAGAAACCTGACCCATCACACAAAATCTATGGCTTTTGTACTATGGGCTGTAAGTTGCCTATAAGAGTCAGCCAGAGACTAATGTGGTGAGGGAGTAAAGCTCTTGAGACCAAGCCCAGTGCTTGGCCTTTAGAGCCTAGTGGTGCTTGGAGCAAGGTGAAGCTAGACCAGGCTAGCAGTAGATAAAGCTATGGAGAAGGGAAAGGGCCATTCATTCAACTAACAAATATTTATCGAGCACTTACTGTATACAAGGTTCTAGGGTTAATATCTGGGAATTTTATTTCCCACTTAAATTACAACCCCTCTCCAAACTCCACTTGATCTCAGAACTCATCTCTCAATTTCTTAATCCTTTCCAGATCTACAGCTTTATTAACACACACCTGCAACACCAGGCTCCAAAACCTGAGCCAAGAATGGGAGCTTGGACTGATTTATTTTATAAATACTTTATGTAATTGATATAATTTTTGATACATTTTAGGCAATTGCCAAATTAAAAATATTACTAACTGCTCTTAGTCTTCCCCTTTTCTTCAAAGTCCATCTTTTATTTCTTTCATTTCTATCAATATATGAGGTGTACATATTGTACTAGATTTGCAATTAAGTATTTTCTTTTATTCTGAAAGATTTAAAGTAGTATTGTATTTTTAAATTTTGTTCATTGTTAGTGTATAGGGATATAACTTTGGGTATTTTTTTTCCCATTAAGTTTATTGGTACATCTTAGTCTCCCCTTTTAAAAATATGCAATATTATAAGATTTGGGGCCTGGGGATGCAGCTTAATTGATACAGTACTTGCCTAGCATGAGTAAGTTCAATCCCTAGCCCTGCAAAAATTACATAAAAAACAAAATGTGACATTTATACTGCATCATATTGGCCTGCACAAGTTCTGTGGTTTTTTAAAACTACTAAATGTTACTTTTAGAATTACTGACCCCTCTTTCTGTAGACATTGGCTCCAGGCCCTTGCTGCCTCATGATGACTCCTGACTTCAGCTTCCTTGCTGAAGGGTCATTCAGAGACGGATGGCTCCCTTTGCTCACACTCCAGCAGCTTTTCTTTCCAGTCCCACACTCAAGACCTGGGCTTTTCCATCCTCCCTCGCGAGTGGCTGCTACACTGATATACAGGCTGTGCTTCTTTCCTTCATCCCTTGCATCACCCATATATACTCCAGAGTCGGATTTTTAAAAATTGTTATTGTTCTTTTTTAATTAAAAATTTTAGTTTACGTTTTGGCTGTTTCAATAAGGAAGAATGTACCTTCATTGGGCCAAGTTTCTGGGAAGCCCAAGACAGGGCAGGGTATGTGTGGCAACTGATGATGTTCAAAAAGAAGTGGGTTGAGTGGTTGAATCTCCAGTTCCTGAATTTGTGAGGTGCACAGCAGTTTGTGAAGTGCACAGCAGGAGCACCCTGCTGGAGGAGCCAAGACACAGCTGTGGGCAGGCTTTGATTTTAGTTTCTCCATTTCTACCTTTTGCCTCTCTGTTCAAGCTGACGCTGACTAGCAGGGCATGCACGTGGCAGTCCACACACCTCACCCGACAGGCCTCTCTTTTTGTTCCAGTGTGCAGGTCAGGGTCTCCCACCACACTCTGGAACCACTTTCTTGGCTTAGCTCTCCAGCATCTGCTCACAGGTTTGGGCCACATCACTGAGCTTGAGGCGGGCATAGTCTACTCGCTTCAGAGCCATTTGACAGTCCTTCCTTGAAGAGTAGCTGGAGCCTTCATGGGGCTGCCCTGTAGCCACCTAAAGGACAGTGAGACTGATAATGAGCACTGCCTCCCTCACCCACCCCCAACCAACATCAGGTCTCCTGTGTCATCTTTCCTCAGTTTGATCTGTTAAGCTGCCTGGTTGTTAACCTCACTGGTGAAATGGGGGCGACCATAACTATTTCCTAGAGCTGTACGATTAGATAATACAAAGTGCTCAGCACACAATAAACTTGAATAAATAGTGGTAGCTGTCATAAGTAAGGGCTTTGGAGTCTTCTTGATCCCATCTTTTTCCAGATGTAAGCATCTGAGGCCTCCTGCCTGGAGGTCACCCAAGTTTGTGGCTTCAATATTATATGCCACCTCTCAGGCACTTCCCCATCCAGTCCTCAGGTGATAGTTACCGAGGTAGGTAGGGTCACATTTATTTTATTAAATTTTATTTTATTTTATCCCATTTCCCCGTCTCAAGCCTCCTCCTCTTCCAGCAGGACCACATTTAATTTTTTTCCTTTTAGCGGAAGAAACCAGCCCCGGAAGGAAAGGACCCATAAGGTTGAGATGGTGTCAAATTGAAAGGCTTGATCTGATCTTGTTCAGTTAATACTCCGCAGGGGGTCGGAAGTTGCACCTGACTAAGGTGGGCCTGCAACGTCTCCCAGATACACTTACCTGAGTGAGGTAACGGATCTGAGCTGAGAGTTCCGCTTCCACATGCTGCACTGAAGCGGTGAAGGCCGCCGCCTGCCGGTCTAAGAGGCGCTCATTGGTTTTTTCCTTGGACAGTTCTAGGATCACAGTCCCTGCCCAGGAGGAGAAAGGGCGGGGTTATCCAGAGACTGGCAGTATAGCCCCGCCCAAAAGCCAATCGCTCCCAGCCCATCTTTTGCAGCGCTTGCACTTAAGGCCCTGCCCAATCACGCGAGGCATCTATGGTCGACTCAGATGCGCGCGGCTCGGGCTGTTTCGTTCCCTTTTGTCAGCTCAACTGATCCTGAACCTGCATTTTGAAGGATAGCGCCGATTTCCCTTTCGATGTCTTCTAGGGCGCGTAGTCGCTCATTCGCCAGGGTGTAGGTAGCCATTTTCACTATGGGAAACTCCAAAAGATTTTCTCCTGAGGAGTGCGACGCGGGGCCCGGAAGTGGCTGTAACTTTGCGCCTGCGTGAAGGGTGCCTTCTAGCGTACTACAATTCCCAGGAAACTCAGTGCGACCTCGCCCTTGTTGGTTTCCCCTGGAGAACTACAACTCCCAAAGAGTCGTGCGCTGGCTTCTGCGCCGCCACCAAGCAACCACCTGGGGTAAGAGGCGGTACTGTTCCTGACCCGAGGCTGTTCAGAACTGTTCACCTTCAAGACGCTGTCTTGTGAACTGTATTTAATTTATTCAGCGAGAATTTATTAAGTGTCAGCTGGGTGCTAGGTGGTGATGGTGGGAGTCCTAGGGTATTCTTCCAGACTGGATAGCCATGGGCCCTTTGCCATCCTTGCTTGAGGAAAACTTGGCTTGGTGAGTGTTAACATTATTCTCCCTAGGGTTCTCCAAGACTTTGAGCCTGACTGGAACACAGACTAGGGATATGTTCTAGGATGCTGGCTCCTTCAATCCTTCCCCGCTTTACTTTTCTGCTTACCTATTATGTGCTGAGTCTGGGGGATATAAATATGAATGAGATGGAGATTCATGTGACGGTGGGATAGATGTTTTGTTAGAGACATGACCAGGGTGTATGGACCACTGAGAAAAGATTCTCGGAGGAAGTGCCATTTAAACAGACTCCTAAAGGGCAAACTAGATGGATGAGAGATTGGGGTAGAAGAAGGAAACAGCATAGACAAGAACATGGTGTGGAGTCCCGCAAGGGTTCAGTTCGAGTGGAATGAATGGTGTGTGGTACTTGTTAGATGTGACAGTGGTGAAATTGTGAGGAGCAGCTGGATCAGGAAAAGGCTAAGCTAAGTACTTTGGAGTTGGCTTTTGAAGGATTTTCAGCAAGTGTGTTACAACCAGATTTTTTTTTGTTTTGTTTTGAAAGAACAAAACTACCCCCTGGTACTGAGAATTGAACCCAGGACCTTTGCACTGAACTAATCTCGAGACCCTTAAAGGTTTTGAGAGCTGGGCTGTCTCCTGTACCCCAGCTCTTAGGAGGCTGAGGCAGGAGGATCACCACGAGTTCTAGGTCAGCCTGGACTACATAGTGAGTTCAAGGCTAGCCTGAACTACATAGCAAGACCCTGTCTGTAAACAAAATGAAACAAAACAAAAACATTTAGTTTGAGACAGGGTCTCACTAAGTTGATAAATTGCCCAGCCTGGGCTCAAATTTAGGATGCTTCTGCCTCAGTTTCCCAAAGTTCTGGGGTTACAGGTGTGTGCCACCATGGGTAGCTGGAAAGATCACCCTTGAGAGTTTATAGGAAAACACTGAGACTGAAACCAGGGCCAAGGCTGTAATCCTAGCTACTTGGGAGGCTGAATCAGGAGGATCACAATTTAGAGGCAAATGTGGGCAAAATAAAAAATAAAAAACACAGAATATAGCTTAGTGATAACTAGCATGGGTGAGGCTATGGGTTCAATTCAAAAAACAAAAAAAGAAAAATACTTAGGAGTTAATAGGAAGACCTTATGTAGAAGCTTGAGACAGGCGGCTAAGTAGTAATTTAAGAAAGCTTAGAAAGCAAACTGATTTACCCTTAAGTTAATGTTATCACATAAAATGTGGGTGAAGGTGATACTACAATTATGAGGGTTATTGGAAGAAGTTAGACTACCAGATCTCCTCCTTGACTTCATATATCTGGGCAACTACTCTTCCCCCCAATTTATTAGAATGCTGGGAATTTCTTTGTTGAAGGAAAATGTTTTTAGCTTGGAGAACACCTGCACACAGTTGAACAAAAGACTACTGCATTGATCCAGGTATGGTAGTATACACTTGTAATTCTAGCACTCAGAAGGCTGAGGCAGAAGGATTGCTGTGAGTGTGAGGTCAGCCTGGGCTACATAGTGAGACCCTGTCTCAAAAAAAAAAAAAAAAAAAA